CCTCCTCTCCTCCTTCTCCCGCTCCTCCGCCTCCTCCTCCTCCTCCCCATCTCCCCATCTTCCTCATCGTCCTCCTCCTCCTCCTCCTCCTTCTCCTCCTCCTCCTCCTTCTCCTCCTCCCCCTCCTCTTCTTCCTCCTGTGAAACAAGCCCTCTGGCCCTCGCCTGCAGCGGCGGGGGGGAGGGGGGGGGCGGGGCCAGACAGCCGACGCCCCGAAGCTTCACGGCACCTCGCCAGGGCTCCCGAGCTCTCGGGGCCCCCGCCCTCCCTGCGTGTGCGGACCTCCGCGGGCGTGGGCGGCCTTTTCCAGGACGAGGCCAGGGCGAAGATGAATTCCGACGAGGATAAGTCGGGATATCCAAGAGATCCCGCGGCTCTGGAGGATGTCCCAGGCGCGGCGGCCTTCTCGGAGCGTTCCGGGACTGACTACCTACCAGACCACCCCAACCCAACCCGAAGACCCGAATTTCGGGTTGGGGGGGGTAAGGGTTCCACATGTGTTTTTTCTCTGGTTCCCGACCCCCCCCCCCACTGGAAATCGAGGGCAAATTTGAGCCTTCGGGTTGGGTTGGGGTGGTTTGGTGGGTGGTGAGGGACGCGCCGAGAGCGTTTCGGAACGCTCTGGAACTGATTTATCATCGTCCTAGCCCCGTCATTTCGTCCTGACCTCCGGGGGCCCGTGAGCCGCCTTTTCCTCCCCGGGCCCGACACGGAAGCCCCCAGCAGGCTCCTGCGGAGCTCTCAACGAGCCCGCTGCCCCGACGTCTGAGGAAAGGCGCCAGAGGCTCTTGGGAAGGTTGGAGGCAACTCCTGGGAGGCCTTCGTAAGAGCGATCAAGATCTGCCAGACCCGATTCTAAGGAGCCTCTGGGCCAGATCGGGCTGGATTCAGGCTGGGACTGAGCCAGATGACACGCACTGAGCGGGATCAGGCCAGACGGACCAGGAGTAAGCCAGACCACAAGGGACTATGCCCGATGAGGCCAGCTCTCGACAACGGATCAACCAGCGCCGATGCTGAATCTAACCTCCCAGGAGGTGGCGCCCACATGTGAAGGGGAACTGGAACACACAAATAAATTCACACAAATAAAAAGATTCCCCATATTTTCTTATATTTTCTGGGTTTTTGTCTTCCCCCCACTTCCCATATTTTCCTATATTTTTTTGGGAATCGAGGATTAATTGTGTCTGTGTGTTTCTTTTCCTCCTGAACATGGGAAGGGAGGGCGGCGGCGGCGGGACCGTGAGCGCCCAGCCCCCCCGGGGGCGGCAGCGCGCGCCCGCTGGGGCCACGGCGCCGGCAGGTTCTGCCCGACCACGAAGCCGCCGAGCACCGCGCAGAGCATGAAGACCGCCTGGCCCCGGGGCACTCGCGGTGGGCCTCTCTCCCTCATCATCATCCTCATCCGCGCAATCCCCATCCTCATCCTCACCGTCATCCTCATCATCCTCCTCATCATCGTCATCATCATCATCATCAGCAGCAGCAGCATCATCATCATCATCATCATCATCATCATCATCATCATCATCATCATCATCATCATCATCATCATCATCATCATCATCATCATCATCATCATCATCATCAGCATCATCAGCATCATCATCATCATCATCATCCTCCTCCTCCTCCTCCTCCTCATCATCATCATCATCATCAGCATCATCATCAGCAGCATCAGCATCAGCATCAGCATCATCATCATCATCAGCATCATCATCATCATCATCATCATCAGCATCATCATCATCACCATCGTCATCATCAGCATCATCCTCATCATCAGCATCATCATAGCCATCATAATCAGAATCATCAGCAGCAGCATCAGCATCATCATCAGCATCATCAGCATCAGCAGCAACATCATCGTCACCATCATCATGAGCATAATCATCATCACCAGCAGCATCAGCATCAGCATCAGCAGCAGCATCATCAACAGCATCATCATCAACATCATCATCATCATCATCATCATCATCATCAACATCAGCATCACCATCATCTCCATCATCATCAGCATCCTCATAATCATCAGCATCATCATCGTCATAATCGCCACCATCGTCATCATCTTCATCATCGTCGTCAGCATCACCATCATCATCAGCAGCATCATCAGCATCGTCACCATCATCATCGACATCAGCATCACCAGCATCACCAAAATCATCATCATCTCCATCATCATCATCATCAGCAGCAGCATCATCATCATCACCATCATCATCAGCATCATCATCATCAGCATCATCACCATCACCATAACAATCACCAACACCATGAACATCATCATCACCACCATCGTCATCATCTTCATCATCGTTGTCAGAATCATCATCATCACCACCAGCGTTATCATCATCATAATCAGCAGCAGCATCATCATCATCGTCGTCGTCATCATCATCATCATCATCATCACCACCATCATCATCATCATCATCATCAGCATCATCACCATCACAATCACTATCACTATCATGATCGGCGTCATCATACTCATCATCGACACCATCCTCGTCGTCCTCGTCACCCTCATCATCCGCATAATCCTCCTCCTCCTCCTCCTCCTCCTCCTCCTCCTCCTCATCATCATCATCATCATCATCATCATCATCATCATCATCATCATCATCATCATCATCATCATCATCGAAGCCGCCGAGCACCGCGAAGAGCGTGGAAAGACCGCCCAGGCCCTCGCGGTGGAGGCCCCTCTCTCTCTCTCTCGGAAGCTCGGGCGGCTGCGCTTGGGCGCCCCCCCCCCACCGCCCCCTCCGCTGCCTCGGCCACCCCCCTCGCACCCGACGTCGCGCACGGCCTTGTGGCGTGGGGCCCCTCCGCCTCTCGACAACCTTCCGGGGGGGGGGGCTGCCCCAGGGGCCCGAATCCAGCCCGCAGGGGGTCCCGAGTTCAGGCAACATGTTGCCTTCGCTGTGTCTCGGTGACGCCCAGGAGGTCGTCCGGGCCTCCCGGGGTCTCCGGAAAAAGTCCCCGTGGTCTCGGGAGGCGCCTGGAGGCCCCTGGAGGCCCCCAAAGAGCCAACCATGTCGAAGCAATCGATCCTCCAAACTCGATCCTTCCGATGGCAGTCACCTGTGAACTCTACCTCCTGCATCAGCTGCCCGTCGATTTGGACTAGCACAAGCTACCCAGGGGGGGCTCACTTCGCTCATACCCATTGGCATTTTCTACGCCTCCACTGGTGAATTCGCACGGGTCCAAGTCGAGGCCACGAAAGGCCATGGCGACACTTTCCGAGCGGGGCGTGGCCGCCGGAAGCGGCCAGGGATGGTCCGGGGGGAGAGGATGCAATGGGGGCACCTGGGAAGGTCGCCGATCCTCACTGTCAGTGCTGAACTGTAGGTGATGGGCCTGTTTTCCACCACCACCACCATAAGTTGAAGTGGGAGGGCTCCTCCTCCTCCTCCTCCTCCTCCTCCTCTCCTCCTCCTCCTCCTCCTCCTCCTCCTCCTCCTCCTCCTCCTCCTCCTCCTCCTCCACCTCCTTCCCCCCTCCAACTGATGGTGGTGGTGGTGGGAAACAGGCCCATCAGTAGGGCTGACTCGTGGCCGCCTCGGGAAGCATCGAGCAGCGAGGACTCCACCCGGACCCAGGAGCCGACGGCGAGGGCCCGGCACAGGGCCGGAGAGTCCCCGGTGGGAGCCCTCGGCGGGCTCCTGCCGCCGCCACGCCTCGGCCACACGGGGCACGGGCGCGGCCGGCCAGGGAGCGCCGCGGAAGGCCCAGCGCCTCGCGCCCTCCCCGCAGCCACCGCCGCACGGAGGGACGAGGACGGCACGAGCGCAGCGCACTGCTGTGAGGTCGGGCACGTCCCCTGCAGGCGGATTGATTTTGGACGAGAAATCAAGAACACCCGAAAAAGATTCGAATGTAGACAACAATCAAAAATTCGTCCCCAGACGATGTGTTTTTACCATGTTCGAAAATTCCTCCTGTAGAGGGACACGCCCGACTCAACTCTGCTGGCAGCAGTGGGCACCTCGCGGGCTCGCTGCGGCCTGGCCGCCGGCAGACTGGCAGCAAGGATCCCCTCACGAGCCCGCCCCCGCCAGCCACGGGCGAGGCCAGGCTGCAGGGAGCACCCCGCGCGCTCGCCGCCGAGCCCTTCACGAATCATACTGGCGAAATCGATCTGGAGGCGGGCCCACGGTGCGGAATCTCTGGCCATCCTCTGACGCCTGGCCGCGGCCCAGAGCACGGGCTCGCAGCGCCTCCACGGCAACCGACGCCTGAACCGTGGGCAACCGCTGTGGGGTCTTCGCAACCCCAGGTTCCTTGCTGCTGCCCGTCTCGCCGTTGACCACTGAGTCGCACTCCGCCTCACCGGTGTCTATGTCCTCGCCCTCGCCATCCCTGGTGAAGAGATACGCGGCGTGATCAAGCACGCCCGAACTTGCTGCCGTCAACCAGGTCGACAACTCAGCGGCTGGCGCAGCTGCTCCGCTCTTGCGCTCCGGCTCCGCGATGGAGCACCCTCTGGCGGCAGCAGCCGATCGGGCGGCCGCCGCGGTCGCTGGGCTCCTGGCCCCGGTCTCTCTGGGGACGCCCGCGTGGCCGACGCCTGGGCCGCCGGGGGCGAACCGCTCTCTCGGACGCCTTGGGGGGGGGGGGGGGCCGCCGGGCCCCCAAGAAGGAGGAGGAGAGAGGAGAGGAGGAGGAGGAGGAGGAGGAGGAGGAGGAGGAGGAGGAGGAGGAGGAGGCGGGAGGAGGAGGAGGAGGAGGAGGAGGTGGAGGAGGAGGAGAATTAGGCCACGAGCGCAGCGCCTGTTGGCGAGGCCGCCTAGCGGGCCAGGCCTGCCGCGGCAGGGCCGCCAGGTGGGTCGCCGAGGGGAGCTGCCCGGGCTGGCTGGGGCGAGCCCAGGGATGGCGGCAAGAGTGCATCGTCTTTGGGCGGGGCCGCCGGGCGCGCCACCGCGCCGGCCGAGCACGCGCACTCCGCATCGGAAGGGTTGGGGGGGCGTGCTAGCGCGGTGCCCCACCGCCCGAGAACCGGCTGCACGCCGCCGCCGCCGCCGCTCACCTCCGCCTCGTGCGTGTCCAGCTTCCTGCCCTGGCCTCACTGGAAGCTCGTCGGGTCGTTGGCACCCACGTGCGCTCCGTAGCCCTCTTCCTCCTCCTCTTCCTCCTCATCCTCCTTCTCCGCCTCCTACTCCTCCTCATCCTCCTCCTCATCCTCCTCCTCCTCGTGGACCGTGAGCTGCCTACTCTGGTTGCCCCTGGAGCTCTGCTGGCCGAAGGTGGCCGACTCCTCCTCTGGGGCGCTGCCCTGGTACTCTGTGGAGCTCCGCAGGTCCTCTGTGGAGCTCTCCTGGTCGCGGGCGTCTGCGCATTCCGATGATGCCCACCGCCTCACGGCGAATCGTCTGACCCCTACCCTGGTTGCCCTTAGAGCCCAGCTGGCCGACGGCAACCGACTCCTCGTCGAAGACCGTGTGGGCTCCGCTACGCTGGTGCTGCGCTAATGCTCGTAGCCGTCAGCGGTCACTCTGCTGGTGCTGGCCTCCGCCTCGTGGTTCGTCTGCTCCCTGCCCTGGCCCCCCCTCGGAGTTCTGCAGGCACTCCCAAGCAACGGCCCTGGCGCCTATGAGCTCCCCGGCCAACTGCTACACCATGCTCGCCAGCGAGTCGCTCCCATGGGTGACCTCCTCAAGCTGCAGGTGTGAAGGCTGCTGGCCGCCTGCGTCCTCGAGGCGAAAAGAAGGCGGCACAGCGCCGAGCTCCTTCGCACCGGTGCTGCTCAGGACGTTCTCGCGCGCGTCGCAGAACCCGCCGTGCCCAGGGAGCGCGGTCTCGACATGCGCCCAATGCTTCTCCGTCCTGGCTGGGCTCGGGGTCCATTCTGCCGCAGAGGCGCCCCTGGGCCGCCCCGAACATGACGTGCGCGTCCGCTGGACCAGGCCACGTCCCTCGGCGCCGTCCCCGTCCTGACAAACCCCTTGCGCTGTCGGTGAGTCTCATCTCGAGGAGGTCCATGCGCGCCCAGAGCTACTGATTGACGAGGGCAGCCTCCTCCGCTCCGCACAGGACGTCCTGCACGGGCGTCGCCCGCGGGGAGGCGGCAGCGCCGAGGGCCGCGCGGGCCACGGCCCGACAGGCCGCATGGGAGGCGCCACCACGCGGCAGCCCCCCCCAATGAGCCCGCCAGCCACGGCAGCCACCAGGGCGACACGCCAGGGAGGAGGGAGGGAGGAGTCCGGCCAACTCCCCGCGCTCTTCCCGCCCCAACCTCCCCCCACCTCCCCGCCCATCCCTGCCCAGCCTCGTCCTCGCAAGCATCCACATCATCGTCGGCCTTGTCCTCCGTCTCGTCCTCCTTCCTCCCCTGCTTCTGCCCATCCCCGTCTCCGTTTCAAATCGGTCCCGCTTGCCTAATTATCCCAGAACTGGTCCTGCCAAGCCCGCTCAGCCAATCTCCGTCGCAATCTGGAAGAAGCTTCCCGGCAGGACACTCCTCATCGTCTTGGTCGTGGTCGTGGTCGAAATCGTGGTCGTGGTTGTGGTATTCGTCGTGGTCGTGGTCGTAGTCGTTGTCGTCGTCGTGGTCGTGATCGTGATCGTGGTCGTCGTCGACGACGGCGTCGTCGTCGTCGCCACCATTGCTTTCGTACACGCCGCCGACGTTTAAGTCGGGAGCTTCCTGCTCATCCCGCTTCCCCCCCAGGTCTTCCTCCCTCCTCCGCTACCACTCCACCTTGCCCACACACCCCACCTCCCTCCGCACTCCTGCACCCGCCCACCCTCCCGGTCATCTTATCCGTTTTATTCCTCGCCATCGACGTCCTTCTCGTCCTCCTTCTCGTCACCTTCTCATTATCTGCATCTTCCTAGTCGACTTCCTCATCCGTCTCCTCCTCATACTCCTCCAGCTCCTCCTCCTCCTCTTCCTTCTCCACCTCCTCCTCCGCCTCCTCCTCCTCCTCCCTCCTGCTCCACATCCTGCTCACGCTCCTGCTGCTGCCGCTCCTCCTCGCCGTCCTCGCGGGTGTGCGCGAGATGGGCCGAGCGTACACTCCGAAGGGAGGGCGGGGCGGTGGCCGCGCCTCGCAGAGGCCCGCCACCGCAGCGCCCTTGGCCAGGTACAGCCCCACCATCGCGCCCATGCCGGCGCCGTACACCTGGCCGCCCGCGGGGGGAGGTGTGGAGAGTGCGCGGCGGAGAGCACCGGGGAGGCGAGGAGGCATCGGCACGCCGAGGACGCCCGAGCGGGTCTGGGGCGGGCCCCGCACGCGGCAGCCTCACACGGTTCGCAGTCTGGGCGGGCAGCAGCAAGGGCGCCTCACTTTGCGCTTCGCGCTGCGCGAAGCAAGAAGCACGAACAACTTCGCGATCTCGCGCCGCCCCACAGGGTAGAAGAGGAGGATGAGGAGGAATCGGAGCCGAACCGCGAAGCGCGAAGCGCGAAAAACTTCGCGCCCTCGAGGGCGCCCTTGCAGCAGAAGCACCTGCGGGACTAAGCGCTGGCGGCGAGGTTTGCCGGGGTGGTGGGCATGGCGCCACGTCGCGCGGACAGTCGCAGCGGCACGCTGGCTCTGGCTGGTCGCAGCCCGCAGCCAGGCATCCTGCCACGACCCCACTCTCCGGCAGTGGTCATCTGCAGGCGATCCTTGGCATGCCCGGCTCGCGCGCTGAGGATGCAATCGGCGCTTCCTCCGAGCGCCGTACGACTGCTCCTCCTCCTCCTCCTCCTCCTCCTCCTCCTCCTCCTCCTCCTCCTCCTCCTCCTCCTCCTCCCCCTCCTCCTCCTCCTCCTCCTCCTCCTGCTCCTCCTCCGCCTCCTCCTCCTCCTCTTTCTCCTCCTCCTCCTCCTCCTCCTCCTCCTCTCCTCCCTCCTCCTCATCATCATCATCATCATCATCATCATCATCATCATCATCAGCATCATCATCATCATCATCATCATCATCATCATACATCATCATCATCATCATCATCATCTTCTCATCTCTTCCTCCTCCTCTCCTCCGCCTCCTTCTCCTCCACCTCCTCCTGCTCCTCCTCCCCCTCCTCCTCCTCCGCCTCCTCCTCCTCCTCATCCCCTTCTCCTCCTCCTCCTCCTCCTCTCCTCCTCCTCCTCCTCCTCCTCCTCCTCCTCCTCCTCCTCCTCCTCCCCCTCCTCCCTCTCAAGGTCAGCACGGGGCCGCAGCAAAAAGCCGACCGATTTTCCTCGCGCGGTCCGTCCGTCCGGCAGGCTTTGGGGGGCGGTCAAGGCCAGGCCTCCCGAGCGCGTTATCTCCGAACTCGCCTTCGTCCCCTTTTACCAGCACCACCCCCTCGTGAGGATGGAGGGAGGGAGGGAGGGAGGGAGGGAGGGAGGGAGGGAGGGAGGGAGGGAGCGAGGGAGGGAGGGGGGGAGGGATGATGATGATGATGATGATGATGATAATGAGGAGGAGAAGGAGGAGGAGAAAAGGGAGGCGGAGGAGGAGGAGGAGGCGGAGGAGGAGGAGGTGGAGGAGCAGGAGCACGCCGTCGCCGTCGCTGTCGCCGTCGCCGCCATGGCCGTCGCCGTCGTCGTCGTCGTCGCTGCCCGACAGAGACGGCGCCGTCGCCGTCGCTCGCCGTCGTCGATTACAGGGGAGGGGGCCCCCGACGTCGTCGCTGCCCAACGGCGCTGGCGCTGGCGATCCCCTCCGCGTTCGACCCCCCCCTGCATCTCAGGGGAGGGGGGGCCCCCGAACACCCCTCCCCTCCCAGTGCACACAGGACGCGCTCGTTCCCAGGGGGGATCCCGCAAAGATTCGGTCCAGCTCCATGTGGCGACATCGAACCTGAGGTGTTCCCCTGCATGGGGCCCCCCTCAGGATTTGGCCCAGCTCGACGAAGCAAACGGACAACACAAGGCACAGCTCCCGACGCCGACATCGAAGCAGAAGGTGCCGCCAGTGGAGTCGAGGAAGAGCTCGGGCCTTCCCGCCAACAGGTTTGAGGTGAGGGCAACCCGAGCGGTCCCGCAGCCTGGACGTACTGCCCCGGCTCAGCCTTCTCAGGGTCGGGCCAGGTCCGCCGCCTCGAGAGCGAAACCGAGGAAGACCAGCTCCGCAGCCTTGAGGGAGAGACCGCAGAAGGCGAGGCACCGCCATCCCAATCCAAGCTTGCAGCGCATGCTGGAACAACGTCGCAGCACAGCGAGGCGCAGGCGGCGAGAAAATCCTCCTCGGGCACATGGAATTTGGAGGTTACAGCCCAGCTCGGTGCCAGGTGATCCTTCGCTTCCTGCACCAACTTGCAGACTGCATCAAGGCCTTCTCAAGGCTCGGGAGGAAAAGCTTGTTGCCTCCGCTTATTCTGCTCGGCCAGGCGTCGCTGCCGCATGCTGTCAGTATCAGGCTTCAGCGGCGGCTTGGGCGTGACAGGGAGGGCCTTGGGTGCGGCAAGCTTCATCGCCCACCGCAGTTGTCTAGCCCCAAGGACAGAAGCGGCAAGGGCGCAGTGCGTCTTCCAAGGGACGCGCAGCTGAGCCTTGACATTGATGGAAGGGCACGCGCGGCCGGCAACCACGCAATCATAAAGTACTCCCCTTCCTTTGTCGCAAATGACACTGCAATCGGGAACCCCGACGCGAGCGGGCAACTGATCCGACCAGCCACTCTCGTGGAACTTCTGCGGTTCGACCTCCCAATCTGCCTCAACCAGCAGTCAGTCATTCAATGCACGTGCGATGGCCGCCAGTGCGACCCTGATGCCACTGCTGATGCCACGGATCAACAGACCTGGCTGAAGGTGCGGTGTCATGGCCGCCAAGTTGCCCGTCTTCATGCGAATCTCGATGGGAATGAAGCCCTTGCAAGGGCCCGCTCTGTGCGCTGCACGCATGCGGCCCCTCATCCTGGCGAAGGGGCTGGCGACGTACTTGCGGGGTAGCATCCACTCGAGGGCAGAGCGGCCCGCATCGGCGCGGCCCGAAGGCCGCGCATGGGTAATCAGTGTGAAGCTGCCACCCGTCTTTAAAGAGGTCGGACTCGGTGTGTGGTATGTCACCAGGACCCCCGTGAGTCTCGACCAATGCCACGACCGAATGCTCGCAGCAATGCCCCGTGATGAACCGATGGGCCGTGGGCCCCCACGGCGGGATGCTAGCGAAGAATAGCCGGCTGTCCTGCTCAGCGACGGCGACGCCAGGGCTGAACAGAAGACTGGGGAGCAGCTACCCCTGCCGCCCCCTGCCCAGCCAGGAGGCGCTTGGCCTCATGGGCGCTCTTGGCGTCGGAGTCGATCCGGCGGGCGCGCCCCTCTGGCGTGATGCTGACTTGGCCTCCACCCCTGGCTGTTGTTCAGGAGGGAAAGAAACACACAGACACAATTAATCGTCGATTCCCCAGAAAATATGGAAATATGGGAAGTGGTGGGGAAGACAAAAATCCAGAAAATATGGAAAAATATTGGGAATATTCTTATTTGTGTGTATTTATTTGTGTGTTCTGGGGCCCCTTTAGTTGTGCCAATGCCTGCAGCAGCAGCAGCAGCAGCAGCACCGTCGCCGCTGCCTGCGGAGCCAGAGCCCCCGCCGCCTCGCCAGGCGTCGCCCACGTCCCTCGGCTTCCCCTCCTCGATCCTCGTCCTCCTCCTCATCCTCCCTCCTCCCTCCTCCCTCCTCTTCCTCCTCCTCCTCCCTCCTCCTCCTCCTCCTCCTCCTCCTCCTCCTCCTCCTCCCCCTCCTCCTCCCCTCCTCCCCCCCCCCTCCTCCTCCTCTCCTCCTCCTCCTCCTCCTCCCTCCTCCTCCTCTCCTCCCTCCTCCTCCTCCTCCTCCTCCTCCCTCTCCTCCTCCTCCTCCTCCTCCTCCTCCTCCTCCTCCTCCTCCTCAGCTGGCACAGGCTCGGCTTCACCGTCCTGAGCCCTGCGCTTCCTACGAGGAGCGGCGAGATCTGTCCTGCCCTCAGCCAGGAGGTCGAGGAGCTCCTTCTCGCGAGCCTTGGCCCGAGACAAGGCGGTCTCCAGCTGTGTCCGAAACTCGCGCAACTTCGCCTGATCAGACCCTCGAACTCATCAAGGGCATCCAAGAGCGGGGGGTCGACGCCGAAGGGGCCATTGTCGTGGGAATGGTTGTCGGTGGGGGCCTCGCGCCCCTGTGCAACTGCCAGCACCAGGAGCCGAGACTGGTCCGCGTCGTAGAGCTCCGATGCTTCAATGCGATTCCTCGCCTGCGCCTCGCGCAGGTACTCCTCAACCTGGACCAGCTCCTGGGCTGCCGTAACCAAATTGACCTGTTTCTGGGCGCGCGCTGCAGCCTCCTCGCGCTGGACGGCGTACGGGCACTCGGGCTTGGACTGAGAAGCGTCGGCAGCCGCCTGCGCCTGAAACTGCTGGACCAGGGAGATGCCTGCCGGGTTGGCTGGAGGCGAGGCCCGCCGCCTCGAGATACTCCTAAAAGTAGCCTTCTGGACTGGACTGCCCTGGCGCGCCCCCAGTGCTGGGAGCGCAGGCCAGACATCGTCCCGTGACCACCCACGGCCGATGCCCTTTGACGGAGCTGAGTCGAGCTGGCGCGCAGCTGGGTCACCGAAGAACTGCATCTGCCCTCAGATATTGCACTGAATGTCCTGGTTCTTGAAATGCCAGTTCCATGCCCAATTCTGACACCCCGAGCACACCGCGTACGTCTGAGCATGGCCACCATGTTTGGCCATCGTGTCAATGAAGGGTACAACCATGCTGTGGAGGGTCGGAGCACGCATGCCGAGCCAGGAGGACGAGGAGGACGGAGGAGGACGGAGGAGGGAGAGAGGGGAGGGAGGAGGGAAGCAGAGGGAAGGGAGAGGGGAGGAAGGAGGCAGGGAGAGGGAAGGGATGCAGGAGGAAGAGGGGAGGATGGAGGGCGGGGGAGGGAGGGAGAGGAGAGGAGGAGGGAGAGAGGGAGGGAGGGGGAGGGGGGGGAGGGAGCCCCAGTCTTGCCGCCCCCCCGATGTCGGCCGCGGCCCCGGGCCCGCGCGCCGCCGCGAGCGCCCTGGCCAGCTCCGCGGGCGTGAGCCCGAGCGCCTCCAGGCCGAGCACCGTGCCTGCTCGGACGAGGAGGGGCCCGGTCACCCCGCAGGAGGGGGAGGGGGAGGGGGAGGAGGAGGAGGAGGCGGAGGAGGAGGAGGAGGAGGAGGAGGAGGAGGAGGAGGAGGAGGAGGAGGAG